CTTCCTCTGTCCACTTGTCATACCCTTTTCACAGGTGGGCCTCCTACAGACTGGGGCCAGAATTGAAAAGCAAAGAACCCCACCTACTGTGCTCTGGGCAGTTTGTTCTGGCACATGCACATCCATGGCTGGAGCTTCTGTGGGAAGTTGCAGCCTCACAGAGGCTGCCTTGTATGGCTGGAATGTGCCATTTGTCCCACTAACCATCTCTAGCCACTTGGAGCCTGACTGGGAGGGAGGTGGGGAGAGCATGGGAACTGTGCTCCAGGGTTGGCCTTGATCTCACACCTCTGTGTGAAACCAGAGGCCCTGGCCTCTGGATAGCAGAGTTGGTCTGAGAATCTGCAGTTACCAGAGCCCCAGACACGGCCATAACCTGTCTGTCCATGTGTCTTCTCCCTTACAAGGGGGGCTGCAAAGCCAGCCCTGAGCTAGACCCAGCGGTATACCAAGGAGGAAAAGTCTAGAAAATTGAGAATGTTCATAGTTCCATAGTTGTTTGCTTAAGGTGGGGATTGCTAAAGCCTATTGGAAATTTTGATGGGAAAGTTAATGATGAAGAATTGGAAAATGTCAATACAACATGAAGTCAGTGATGTAAACAAAAGGGAAAAAATAATGGATGCAGTCATACCAAAATCACATTTCTCGGTAGTTTGCAGAATTTTCTGAAGTGAACATGTATTCTTATTCATTAAAAAATTTTTAAAAAATGTGTGAATAATGACGGGTTTAACGAATTGAACATGTGTTTACCCCATCTCCCCCCAAATCCTACTAAAACCAGAGTGAAGGAACTTTCAAACAAATGGACAAGGAGACAACAGCAACTAGATTTTGGAAGCCTGAAAGCAAGTGACTAGATGATGACCGATTTAGAAAGCTGCATCCAAAATTGATACTGGGGAAAGCTGAGCAAAAACGTGATTTTCACTCCACCCAACCACATTCAGGACTCAGGAATTAGTACCAGAGATTTCAGGTATCTTTGGAGATGGGGTAAAGGTCAGGTTAAACTAGGATTTGTGAAACAGCTTTTATTTTTTATGTTTTATATTTTTATTGATTTCAGAGAGGAGGGGAGAGGGAGAAAGACATAGAAACATCAATGATGAGAGAGAATCATTGATCAGCTGCCTCCTGCACATGTGCCCTGACTGGGAATCGAACCATGAACTCCTGGTTCATAGGTCACGCTCGCTGGCTGGGCAATGTGGAACAGCTTTTAAAAAGGCCTTTAAGGCACTACCCTCTTCATTGCTTCCCCCCAATTCTGTTCTCTGCCTCTCCCAGCCCTGGTAGAGGACCAAAACATTTTCTGGAGAGGATGAACAAGAGGGTCTCTGAACATGAGCACCAGGCACAATTTCCCATGCTGAAAATAAGGGAATAAGTAAGAGTTGATAACCAGATGTTGATCACCATCCTTCTTCCCTAACTTCTCTCCCAAAATAACGCTGGCATCCAGGATTAAACCCTCAGGGTGGGATATTGGAAGAGTTTTATAGGGAGACTTTTGGGACCATCCAAGAAATTTCCCATTGAAATGACCCAAAGAAATCATCTTACTGGGAGGTGCATAGTCAGCAAACGCTACCTGAATGCACCGAATTTTCAGTTCCCTTCTGAGTGTTCCACTTTAATATAAATGGACAGCCAAGAACCACAAGACATTCGAGAAAAGCCTCTAATATACAGAGACCAAAGGGGAAAAAGCCAGAAAAAAATAAATTTTGAGACAACAGAGACCATGCAGAGAGGGAGAAAAAGAGTATTTAAGTACATACAGACTTATATAATCCCAAGAGAGTTAAAGTGAATGCATCTATGACACAAAAGTACAATGCTTATTTTTAAAAAAAGGATAGGAAGGAGCTATTCAAAATTAAAAATTTAATAGCCCTAGTTGGTTTGGCTCAGTGGATAGAGCACCAGCCTGCAGAGTGAAGGGTCCAGGGTTCGATTCTGGTCAAGGGCATGTACCTCAGTTGCAGGCTCGAGGCCACATGCAGGAGGCAACCAATCAATGTGTCTCTCACATCAGTGTTTTTCTCTCTCCCCCTCCCTTCCACTCTCTCTAAAAATTAATGGAAAAATATCCTTGGGTAAGGATCAATAACAAGTGTGTGTGTGTGTGTGTGTGTATAAAGGGAGGGATTATATATATCCTATATAATAAAGAGGTAATACGCAAATTAACTTTCATGCCCTCACAAGATGGCTGCCTACAACCAGGCCAGCAGGGGGGTTAGTGAGGGATGACCAAAGGACTGAACAAGCAGGCTGCATGGGGTGACCAGGCCAGCAGGGGGGTTAGTGAGGGATGACCAAATGACTGAACAGCAGGTCGTGAGGGGTGAACAGGCCAGCAGGGGGGCAGGTAGGGGTGACCAGGCCATCAGGAGGGGCAGTTAGGGACGACCAGGCTGGTGGGGGAGGCAGTTGGAAGTGATTAGGTGGGCAGGGGTGGCAGTGAGGGGCAACTTGGCCAGTGGGGGGCAGTTGGGGGCGACCAGACCAGCACAGGGGTGCAGTTAGGGGCGACCAGGCAGGCAGGCAGGTGAGCAATTAGTAGCCAGTGGTCCAGGATTGTGAGAGGGATGTCTGACTGCCAATTTAGGCCCTGGGATTGGGTCTAAACTGGCAGTCGAACATCCCCCAAGAGGTACCGGATTGGAGAGGGTGCAGGCTGGGCTGAGGGGACCCCCCCCCCACTCCCGTGCACAAATTTCGTGTGTGTGTGTGTGTGTGTGTGTGTGTGTGTGTGTGTGATACAAGTTAAAAGCTCATAACAGTGTTAGTATATAACATTGACTGCACATCTCAGAAAATAAAGCAAAAGGGCAAAAAAAGAAAATAGGGAACGAATAAGAAAATGGAAGGATGAAAGTCCAATTTCCAGACATTGGGAATTCCAGAAAAAAAGAATAGCAGAACCAAAAAGAAGGGAATTAGCAACAAAATAATTCAACAAAAATTTCCAGCTACAACTGAAACTGTCAACTATAATTGAAAAATAAAAGTAATAAAAAAATAAATTTTGCACAAAGAAAGAAAAATTCCCAGCTTCGAAAGACATGGTTTTCCAAATTGAAAAAGTCCCCACCAACTGTCCAGAACAATGGATGGAAATAAACCCACACCTTAGATGCTGCAGCAAGAAATTTCAAAGACACTGAGGATAAAGGAGACCCTGCAAGTTTGTGGAGAGAAAAAATGGGTTCACACAAAGGAACAAGATAGAACGGCTCTGGACTTTTAAACATATTGGAAGCTACAAGACAGTAAAGCAATGCCTTCAAATTCCTTTAAATTTTAAAATTGGAAAATATCATCCAACTGTTCTAGAATGTGACATCTAGACTGTTAATTCATTATGAGAGTGAAATTGAGACATTTTGAGGTGTTCACAGTCTCCTACGCCTCCATTCTCAAAATGGGGAAGTAAACCCAGAAAGGCTTAGGAGCTCCAACATAAGAGAGATGAAGGGAGCCCTGGGTGCTGTGGAAACCCTAAAAGACAGCTGTGCACCTGGAAGCAACCAGGCCAGACTGGAGAACATTAGGAGGTTTCAGAAGTTTTTTTTCAAGTAGCTGACATTGAGAAATACCCAATTTGCATTGTTTGAGAAGAGAGTTACAGAGCAGGTTTGGGGGAGAGTTCATGGTAATAGTAAGCCAAGGAAAAAAATTATTAGCTCCAAGGAAAAGCAAAGAGGGCATTGAACAGTGCTTATAGTAGACTGTATTGATCCAATCAGAATTATAAGCTAAACTGGAAGGATCAGGGACTTGGAAGAATATGGCTGGATGAGGAAGAGATGGTCCTCACTACAGCTCTTGGAAATCAATAGATTACACTTAAAATTGAAAATTCTAAAATCCTCAATAAAATTCTAGCAAATCAGATCCAGCATTACATTAGAACAGTGGTTCTCAACCTTCCTAATGCCGTGACCCTTTAATACAGTTCCTCATGTTGTGGTGACCCCCACCATAAAATTATTTTCGTTGGTACTTCATAACTGTAATTTTGCTACTGTTATGAATCGTAATGTAAATATCTGATATGCAGGATGTATTTTCATTGTTACAAATTGAACATAATTAAAGCATAGTGATCAATCACAAAAACAATATGTAATTATATATGTGTTTTCCGATGGTCTTAGGCGACCCCTGTGAAAGGGTCGTTCGACCCCCAAAGGGGTCGCAACCCACAGGTTGAGAACCGCTCCATTAGAAAGATCATACACCATGACCAAGTGGGATTTATTCCAGGGATGCAAGGCTAATACTATATCAGCAAATCAATAAACATGATACATCACATAAATAAATTGAGAGACAAAAATCACATAATCATATCAAATGATGCAGAAAAGGCATTTGACAAAATCCCACACTCTTTCCTGATAAAATTGAAAATTCAAGGAGTAGCAACCTAAGTATGTTACTTAGAGTTATAAAAGTATGTGACAAACATCAGCTAGAAGAATTGAAAGTGATTGTCTCTGGGGAGCTGGTAATAAGGAGTTGGGGTGGAGGAAAGCCTATTTATTTATTTTTTTAATCCTTATCTGAGGATATGTTTTTTATTTATTTTAGAGAGAAAGTGGGTGGGGAGAGAGAGAAAGAGACATGGATCGGATGCCTCCCATAGGCACCCTGACTTACCCCGAAATCTGGGTATATGCCCTGACTGAGAATCAAACCCATGGCCTTTTTGTGTATGGTACCACACTCCAACCAACTGAACCATACTGGCCAGGGCGCGGAGAGCTTTTTAAGAACAAGTTTTGAAGCACTGTTCAATCCTCTGACTTGTATACATGTATAACTTTTTAAAAAGACTTAAAAAGCTAATATACCAAAAATTTAAAAATCTAACAGGAAGTGCAGCCATGAGAAGGTTGGAGAGCCAGTGTGAACTGTCATTTCTTTGCTTAGAGCTGATAGAGAAGGTGAAACAAAGTTTCATCAAAAAGAAGAAAATAACAGTGCTCACTTGGGCAGCACATATACTAAAATTGGAATGATACAGAGATGATTAGCATTTCCCTTGCTCAAGGATGAATGAAAATTCATGAAGCATTCCATATTTTTTTAAAAGCCCACAAGAAAAGAAAGTTTAGAGAGTAAAAGTCTCACATAATTCTACTACAAGTCAACAGTTTATTCCATCCAACTTATGTGCAAATAGTAACACACACACACAGAGAGCCTTAATTTTATAAGTGATACATAAATACATACCCATTGTAAAAAATATCCAAACAGCATAGAAGTATATTATTGTTTGGCAGATAGTTTGTTTCAGTACTGAATCTTTGACATCTTTACATGTCAGAACATATAAATCTATCTTGTTATTTTAAAGCTAGTGGCCCAGTGCACGAAATTCGTGCACTCGGGGTGGAAGGGGGGGTCCCCCAGCATGGCCTGTGCCCTGTCACAGTGCGGGAGCCCCGCCCACCCATCCGGGGTGGATTTCCCCAAAGAGGTAGGCCAGAGCTGGAGGAGGCCTGCCGACTCCCAGTGCAGGCTCACGGAGGCCCCGCCATGGCCCTGCCCCTGGGCCGGGCCACAGCGGAAGCCTGTGAACCTCCGCACACCTGTGGACCCTTGGTCGGGCCCATGGTGGAGGGGCCTCTCCATGCCTGCGGAACCCTGGGCCGGCGCAGGGGGACAGGGACATGAGCCTCCCATTCCCTGGGCCCATTGCCGAGGTCGGGGACGCGAGCCTCAAGTCCCCTGGCTGGTGCAGGGGGCGGGAGCGCAAGCCTCACGTCCCAGGGCCCGTTGCCGGGGTTGGGGACATGAGCCTCATGTCTTCGGGCTGGCGCAAGGAGCGGGGACACAGCCTGCTGATGGGTCATTACGTGATGGCGTCCCAACCAATTTGCATATTATTCTTTTATTAGGTAGTAGAAGACTATAGCATCCTGTGCATTACTTACATAACTTATTTAAATAAACTTCCATTCTTGTACACTTAGAGTAGTTACAAGTTTCAGTGCTTTATTAAATGTCCTTTATAAATATACTAGAGGCCCGGTCACAAAATTCATGCAAAGGCCTTGGCCCTGGCTCCCGCCCACCATGGCAGCAGCTTTGTCCGGAAGGAAGGACGTCTGGAAGGACATCCGGTCTAATTAACATATTATGCTTTTATTATTATAGATTTTGTGCACATGTCTGAAACTTATTTAGAAGTATATTTTCTGGGTCAAAGGTTATACCCATTTAAAAATTTAATAGATATTAGCAAGTGCCCTTTAAATCAATTGTTCCAATTTATAGACCTTCATCTGTGCATGAAACTACCTGTTTCCCCACATCCTTGGCAATAGTAGGTATTATTTATCCTTTTATTATTTGCCAAAGTGATGAGTAGAAAGGACAGTATTTTGATGTTTTCATTCCACTTCTGTAAAAGTGAAGTTGAGTGTATTTTTATACCTTTATTAACCACTAGTATGTCTTACTTTATGAATTGCCTTTTGCTCATTGTTCTTTTGAACTATTGATTTTTTTATTATTGATTTGTAAAAGCTTCTTAAATATTAAAGATAGTAGCTCAACTCTTTTTTAAAATATGTTTTTATTGATTTTAAAGAGAGAGGAAGGGAGGGGGAGAGAGAAACATTGATGAGAGAGAGAAACATCAATCAGTTGCCTCCTACACAGCCCCTATTGGGGACCGAGCCGGCAACCTGGGCATGTGCCATGACCTAGAATGGAACCAGCAACCTCTCAGTGCTTGGGACGACATTCAACCAATGACATGAAAATTCATGAAGCATTCCATATTTAAAACACACGCACGCACACACACACACACACACACACACACACACACACACACACAAGAAAAGAAAATTTTGAGCCACATCAGCCAGGGCAGCTCTTCTCTGTTTTATGTATTTGAACATGCTCCCAAGTTTATGCTTTAACTTTCCATAGTATTTGTGTGTAGTATAGCTGTCTTACATTTTTATGTGTTCAAATTTATCAAGTTTAAGTTTCTATGTATTTAAATTTACCAGTAATTTTCTTTATGGTGTCTGTGTTTTGTATCAAATGTAGAAATACTTACTTGGCCCATTTTATTCAGTAAACATTATGATCACAGACCTTGCACCTATGTGCTTTTCAAATTCTATAAAGATATTTGAAACATGGATTAAAATATATTTTGTTCCAGAAAGCAAAAATAAAATTGCAAACTGTAAATTACTGTTTAATTAAATGTTTACAACTTTAACCATATACCAGATTTATTAATTATTAAAAATGCATTTGAAAACAATTTATCGGACAGATTTTTCCCATCTCATCAAAGTTCTTCTGAAGAAACGTGATTACAGAGATTACAGAGAAATCATAAATTAGATGTTTCCTATACCCAAACAATATCGAGGCAAAACTACAAAAATGGTTTTCAAAAAATTATCGTTAATATGGGTTGGGTACACCAAATATGTTTGGATGACTGACTAGACAGCTTCCAGAAGAGATAACTGAGGTCCCTGGTGTCTAGGAATAGCCGGTTCTTCAGCTCAAAGTCGAAAAAGGAAGAAGGAGAGGAAGAGAGAAAGAAAGGGCTGTGCTTTTTTCTAATACTAGATTTTATTATTTATGTTTAAATTGTGGGTTTATTAGTAATTAATTTTGATATGAAATATATGAAGCTTTTTTTTTCTCCTAGGTAACCAGTTGTGTCTAATCCATTTGTTTGTGTATTTATTTAGTTAGTTATTAATATATTGCATTGATTTCAGAGAGGAAGGGGGGGGGAGAGAGAGAGAGAGAGAGAGAGAGAGAGAGAGAGAGAGAGAGAGAGAGAGAATCATTGATTGGCTGCCTCCTGCAGCCCCTATAGGGAATTAAGCCCACAACCCAGGCATATGCTCTGACCGGGAATTGAACTGTGACCTCCTGGTTCATAGATTAATACTCAACCACTGAGCCACACCAGCTGGGCTTGCAACTTTTTGAAAAGCTACCTTTGGTCATAAACTATATTCACAGTGTATGTGTCTTCAATTCATTTTTTCAATAGGAGAACAAATTACTACTTAAAATTGCAAGTTGGTTATCAGTATTCTTTCAAAAGTTGTTTGGGTGGGAGACCTTTTTGGGGAAAAACAACTGGCTTCTCTACTACCTAACAAATGCGGGGGAGGGTGGAAATGTGTAAATACATGTTTTGAGAGGAAAAGAATTAAATATCACACTGAGGAATAGAAGAGTACTAGGAGTTCAGAGAAGAGCACAGCTGTGCTCCCTGAAAGCACTGTGAGAAGTTTGGTAGAGTAGGAATGCTGGAGTGGGGTCTTGAAGTAGGGACAGGTGTTGGAAGGCAGTGGTCTTCAAGCTGGGGTACCCATGCCCTTGATGGTACAAGGTCCAAAAGAGACATGACAGATGGCATTGAAGGTTCAATTTCTGGGTCTTTAGTCCATCTGTTCCCATTCATAAAACCCATCAGCTAGAGTGCACAGCACAGGCAGCCCCTGAAATGCTGGTTTTTGTCTAGAACAGGTACCTTCCACCCATCTCTACCTTATTATGGAGCATTTCACTTAAGTATAAAAAGCCCTCTGGGTCACGAAACAAAGAAACAATCCTAAATGTTGGGGTACATGACCAGAAGTTCATGCTTTGGGGCCTAGGTGGCAAATTCTTTTGCAAGTGAGATCATTTCCAATACTTTGCTTTTAACAAAATTGAGAGAGAAACTAAGATGTCAGCTAATAGGTCATTAAAAACAATTTTTGATATGTTCACCAGGTGCTTTCATAGAATTATATTTCAGAAATTCAAAGAAGAGTGATGATTCCCTAACAAAGCTCCTGCTAGCCCATCTATGTATCTATCTAAATGAGCTTTCCCAGAGCTTTTATATATAGAAATGAAAAATAGGAATAGATTGGATTCTGAACTCAGCCTAATTCAAACAATGAGAATATTCATTTTCAGATAAATTAACTAATTGGAGAAAAAAAATCCCTATCTATCCTTGTAAGATACTTTTCCAACCAGTTTTTTTTATTGTTTTCTATCTTGAATAATTGTTTATCTTCCTACAATTGTAATAAGTAAAGGTAATTTAAACCAGGGATGAAAAAATAAACACTTAGAGCCCTATGGTTATTAGAAATGAAAGCAAAATTAATCTTTCAATTTACATACACATTTTTGTGGCAGAGTGGTAGATGAGGTGATCAGTAAAAGGCTTCTAAGCATGAAAATGTTTTCTATTAGGATAAAATTATGTGGGCAAAGTGGGAATGGAAATAGAAGTTCAAGGTGGAAAGGAATGATATAAAAACTTCAGCTATCAAAGAAGAACTTGTTGGTGTGTTTTTTAAGTGAAGAATGGTGGGTTTTAAATTGCTGGGATTCTTAGATTCCATTGGTGACATTAAAGGGTGATGGAAGAGTTTATTTTAAAATATCAATATTTACAATACTCCAGAAATGACATCTTTTGCAGTTACTGAAGCATTTCATATGTTTATTCAAAAAGATGCAGAAGATACATAGTTTTAAAAACATTTTAGGGAGGAGGATAGCAACAAAATATTTTAAGGAGTCTGCCAAGAAAATCTTTTTCTAATGCTGGAGTCATGCTGATGTTTGTGGATTTACTGCAGAGAGGAGGATTGAAGACAGAGAAGAAAGGGACACAGCTCATGCAGCACACACAGTTCCAGGGGGAAACATGGGCAGGACTAAGGAAGCAAGCAGAGGACTTAGGAGAGAGGAGAGACACTGTTTAACTGAGATTGGGGTCGGGGGGTGTGTTCCAGATGGTGACCTTGAGCTAGAGCAGGGGCAAGTCCAAGAGGTAAGTTTGGATATAGCATAGGACACTGATGACTTTGGACAATGAGAAGAGATCTTTGGAAACTCAGCTCTGGAGGAAAGAAGCCACAGTCTGCATTTAAGGCTGGGGGCGGGCCTGTAACATGGGAACATGAGAGCTGCTTCATATTCTGTCTACTCCCAGATGGGCTCAGGTGGTCAGTCAGAGGGGAATTAAAGGGTTTCCGCACATCAGAAGGAGCCCAGTTTGGGGTCATCGGGTATGGTTACTA